TAAAAGTGGAGTTCTTTCATTTTTTCTTAACACAAGAGCTGCAACCTAATTTGAATGGTTTTGGCCACACTTGCATCTTTGCAGTTTTCTCCAGTTTTTTTGAGCAAAAAGGCCTGTTGTCTTTAAATGATGATTAAGTGAAAAGTGTCCTTTTAATAGTGTTATTCAGGGTTTACAAGTTTCTAAAAGCTTGCTGTAAATATTGTGTAGCTCTGTAGCAAGATCACTGGGCATGCTGCAATACCTACCTAGCATCCTCTCTTACAGCAAAGAGAATACCAATGAGATGTGAAATTCATGTTTTGCATTGTGCCCTTCTCCACGAGAGACTCTTTTGTGATACTAATATCAAGCCTCACCTGCATTCTCTTTTCCTGCAAAACAACATGAATTCTAAATGCAGGAGCCAAGACTCTTTGATCTTGATGGTTTATATTTTATGTTCATGTTCTGTACACCTGGGTCCTAAGCCATTCTGTGAAAGAGGAAAGCTCTGAGTGCCTGTATTCAGTTTCTGGTCTTTTTCTAAATGCTATGCAGATCCCATCCGTACACTGTTATATTGTCTCTGCTCATTGTTCATTGACCTCATAAGCCATCCACCTTTTTATCTGTTTTTGAAATAAATTGCACTATAAAAAAAACACAACAATATATGAATTAGCCTAAAGGTGAAGTCAATTGTATATTCTCTCATTGCATTGCATTCTATTGCAACAATGGGGTATTTAAGTTTCAGAATTGTAATGAGACAACTTGATATACAGAACTTATGTTTGATAAAGAGGTTCATGTCTTTCCTGGAAGGTTTTGACTTACTTGGAACTTACTATATGTATGACACTGGTGTAACTCATTATGACACCAGTTCTGATAGCAGAGACACTTTAAAACAATATAGGGAAAATTATTCTGTGTCTCTTCGTCAGCATCCATACTAACATAAGGCAAACAAGAGCCATAAGATAAGCTGAAAAGCATCTTCTTATGCTGTCCCTATAAGGCATTATATGAAACAAAACTGCCACCTTGCCACCAAAATATGACTAAAGTTTATTATTGAAATACTATTGGGATAGACCAAATGATGTCCTGCTGTTGCTTACAGAGTGTGAGAAGGGGGCCCTTCTTTGTAACCACGTCAAGGAGAATGCAGCAGGTGTATATTTTGTCAACACCTCAGTCCAGAAAGAAACCCTGTATACTCTGAGTCTTTTACTTGTCTGTTGCGGGCAATTACCACGCATGCCTTAACATTTAAAATGGGCTGCCAATGCTCTACAATAGCTAAAAATGTCCCAGGATTTTTTTTTTAAATGCAGCACACTTCATTGCAGGGCATGTGCATTGTGGTGCATTGTGGTGCAATGCAGCTCAGGTATGTTGCCACCTACTGTAGTTGTGCATTACAGGTGAAACTCGAATAATTAGAATATCGTGCAAAAGTAATTGCAGTAATTGCTACAAAAGGGGCCCAAACCAAGTACTGAGTACATATGCATGCTTGTACTTTTCAGAGGTTCAATATTGTTCTATGTACAATCCTTGTTTTATTGATTGCATGTAATATTCTACTTTTTTGAGATTTTGGATTTGGGGTTCTTGGGGTTTTCATGAGCTGTAAGCCATAATCATCACAATTATGACAAATCACGGTTTGAACTATCTTGCTTTGCATGTAATGAGTCTATCTCATATATTAGTTTCACCTTTTAAGTTGCATTAGTGAAATAAATGAACTTTGCACGATATTCTAATTATTCGAGTTTCACCTGTATAGTGCCATTCTAAATGAATGGTGCTGCAAAATATCTTGCAATATTCCATGAGGTATCGCATTTTTTGGAAACACGATAAAACACCAAACACTAGCCTCAATAGATAGATAGCTAAATGTCAAATATACATTTATGTATCAAGGGATTCTGTGCAAATGTCTAATTCCCCATACAACAGCGCCTTATTCCATGAGGTAACATAGTATTAGATTTTACTGGCCTTCTGGTAATATCATAATTCACAAACGGCTTTTGTGAAATAATGGTGTTCAGTGTACACCATTGTAAATGAATGACCAGATTTGGGTGGTCAAGTAATGCAAGCAATGAAGAGAGAATGAGGTTCCCTCTCTCTTGCCATATGATGGAGTCAAATTAGTGAGTGAGACTTGATTTGAATATTATTAAAGATACTGTACCTCTTATAAAAAAAATATTATCACCTAAATCTGATCTGGATTTCTGCATTGCCATCATAGGCTGTGGCACTCTGCTTGACATTGCTATCTGGGCAGCCAGTGCAATTTTAATCAATGGAATCGTGCACTTGGACACAGCTAGTAAGCCTTTGATGTCTGATCGTGTTAAAGTGACCTTGGTTAGGAGAGGGGCAGTACAAGATGTTTTTTTAGGGACATATATATCATAATATAGTTTTTTTCTACAGCTACACACTTTTTAGGGCATATGATGCATATATTACAATCATGCAGTAAACACAGCTGACTATTATAATAATCTGAATGTATATCTTTATGAGTTTTGCTATCTTTATTTGAAGCTAATATTAAATGTTCATTTTCTCATTTTGTTCTTATTTGCTTTAAATTCCTTTTATATCGTCTCCAATCTGTGAAAATGGAATGTGCAAACTGTTTATTCTCTCTTATCACCAGCTATCATCCACCCACAGCCTCTCATGATTTTCTCTCTCTATTTGGAACATTGGGTCAATGTAAATACAGACTACTTTAGCTGGATGAGTCTAAATTCTTAAACTTAAGAAAACTATCTTCATTCTTTACTATAAGTTCTTTATGTCGTGTGGGGGCGTGCAGTTCAAACACATTGCAAACCATTAATGTATATTTTTTATTTTTTTTAGCATACACTCCTAACAGCATAAGCATAGCTGTTTACTTACAAAGCTTTAACAAACTGCATACTATGATTTCAGTTCTTGAGTACATGGTGAATACTTTCTATGTAGTATGTTTATCTATCTATCTATCTATTCATCTATCTCTATATCTAAAATATTGAAACATAAATGGTCAAATTCAAATATAATTTGGTAGTTTGTAATACATGTGTACATTAGATTTTTTTAATGGCAACGATCCCAAAATTATCTTTATAAGCCCAGTGTTCTGTAAATTGTGTTGAAGAATGTAATGGATATATTTATGTAGCATTGTTTATATTTATTAACAGTGCTTAGTGGTGACATTATTTATTATGCCTTATATGCCAAACAAACCTTGGTGACATCTAGAATGAGGTAACTATCTTAGAAGACTAATACATTACACTATAAAGTATATTGTGCTATGAATTGTAGTATATATTAGCATGTAAGAAAGGTTAAGTCAATTACCCCTCCAATCATCCAGTTGAAAATCCACCTTACTGTTTTATTTATTTATAGGCTCTGATCTGTCAACTTGAACATACTACTTGGTGATCTCACTTCAGTTATGTACTTCTCTTGATCTCCTTTCCTAATGACCCACTTTAGCTATGTCCGTAACTCAAACCTGTATCCCCCTTATGCTGGCCCTACATTTGGTAATTGTGCACAGTTTTCAAAGTTGATCTTCAGCTTTTGATTCAATAAGCAATTGTATGTATCTTATAGGCCTCAGAAATCTTTCTTACAGCAGGGATCACATTGTCTTCAATCTATACAGTTTTGATCATATGGCCATTCACAACTGATAACAAAACATTAGGAGGCAGATTTCTGTTTACTGGTTATTTCCAGCAAGCAAACTGTTTTTTGACTGACAGCTGATGGAAAGCTTCCAGAATTGCCAAATGCATGGTCAGCTTCACTTTAGTGGAGAAACTTGTCTCTTTTTAATAAGTAGATCAGGGGAATATCAGTGGGCAATTACCATAAACTTAATGGCTTTGGTTGATTTCTTCCATTAATTAGTACTAGAGCCTACAGCAATGGGCACAAGTATCCATCATTGTTTCCTTAAAGTGGATCTTTTAGCTATTTTACAAGTGACTTTGCCTTGGTTAAGATAACGTTGTCTGTCTACTCCAGGTAGGAGAAAGCATTTCCCTCTCCTCTCCCCCAGTTATCAGACTGCAACATTGTAACTTTTTAGGAAGTCTCAAGGCACAGGCACCAGAGTTTACCTGACTGTCATCTCTGAGCCAGCATCTCCGTTCAAAAAGTAAATGCTGACCCTGGATAATACATGAACAAAGATGGTTCATACCTTCTGGAGAGAGGGATAGATAAAGGCAGTGTGAGGGTGAAGTACTGTGATCTTTGAGAGGTAATAAATACCTGAAGGCAATACACATTTGCATTACTTGCATGCATTTAAAATGAAAAAATATATATCTGATGCCAGATTCAGTTTAAAGTCCTACTACATTTTCACTGTTCATTTAGATTTCTGTACCTCCCTCTTTTTTATAATGTACAATGTTTCCTTTCTCCCTTTTTACCATTTAGCTCTGATTTGCCCACTTAGTGTTATTGGCTCATTCTATAAATACAAGGAAAACTAGAAATTTTACAAAATGCTCCTCAATACTCAATGTGAAAATCAAGCAGTCCTCTAATGGACATAATTATAAAACCTAATGGCTACTAAGGGAAATAAAAAATTGGAAGCTCTCTCTGGTAACTGGAGCAAAGATTGAAATGGCTCATCTTCAGCTGTTTTAAATTAAAGCAATTGTACTTTCCAATATCATTTTCATTTAAAACCTTGACTTTTATAGGAACAATAAAAAATCTAATATTTTTGTTAGCCATTTTATTATGTATATTAATCTTCTATTACTATGTTTTTAAGTAGCCTCTTATATAGAACGTGTTTACCTATATTGAAACCTACTAAAAAGGAACCAAGATTCCTGCTTCCAACATAATAATGGCATGGAATAATTTATCTGGGCTTTGTTCTTAGTAAACATCTAATGAGATGTTTCTATTTCTCATGAGTTGTTAACTTGGAATATGTCTGTTTCTTCTAGCTCCAGTGGCTGCTGGACAACTATGAAACTGCTGAGGGAGTAAGCCTTCCCAGAAGCACTCTCTACAATCATTACCTTAGACACTGTCAGGAGCACAAACTAGACCCAGTCAATGCTGCCTCCTTTGGAAAACTTATCCGCTCCATATTCATGGGACTCCGAACGAGAAGACTGGGTACTAGGTTAGTATGCAGATTTTTTTTGCTTTTCTACTAACGGTGTTAAGTGGGTTCTAAATAATGCTGCAAACGTTTTCCGGTTTCTACTGATCTTTTGAGTACAGTTTAAATGTTTATTGTAAAATGCCTATTTTCCTAAAGTACAACCTAAGATAGAGCAGTAAGTGTGACACTGTTCTGTGTTTTACTGAGTTTGCCACCAAACACAAAGCCATTCGGTTGCTCTAAAGCAAACAAATAGAACCCTTGTTATAATGGAGTTTATTTTATAAGTTTGAATGCATGGGGTCAGCCTGCAGAAGAAGTAAGGGAAGGGGTTCATCACCCCCAGATCAAATGTTAAAATATTTTTTTTTATAAAGCTCTATTAAATGTAAGATGGGAATGGCATTTAGTTCGGCGTTTCAACAAACATCAAACATCCTAAAATAAAACAGTTCTGTAAAACATTCATATAACAAATGTATATATTTGATACGCAAATCATTTTGTAAACGATGGCCTTACTCAATAAAGAGTTTCTATAGAAATCCCATAGATTCCATTTTGTACTACACTGACTTCAAAACAATGAATTCTGGTGGGTTGCCATTACCACACATATGCTAATCATTTGGGGGTTCATACCTAAAATGGCTCCTAGTCCTTAGAGAAGTCACCTCAAGGTGCCATCTTGTGTCTTTGTAAGATCTTCATTGTGGTTGAAATGTCCAAAATCTGGGGCACAAATAGCAGGGAACCTGGGCATAGTGAGGATCATCTAAAGGTGCCTGCTTTATGGATTACAGGCTCTTTTGGAGCGCAAGAACTTTTAACAGGTCCCCTTTTTATCTTTACTGAAAATGCCACTTATGTTTCATTTCTGATTCAATGTGCATCTATGCATCATTTTTTTAAACTGCCTAATAAATTAATTGTATTTATTATTGGGGTAGGAAACAAGGATAAAGCTCTCGAACAGGGACAGAAGCGGCACTAAAAACTAACAAACACCATGAAGTCTTCCCCATTTCATCTAAAACTAAATAAAACATTTTGGTGGTTGGAGTTAGGCTTTAAATTTTTTGTGCTAGAAGTTTTATCTGTTATCAAACCATAGACCTTGAAGTTTGCTAAAATTGTTGCCATGTATAAATGATCTAGAGGTCACTTATATAGGTTGTTACAAGTTTTGTAGAAAAAAAAGCGTGTGTGTGTGTAGAGCATCTGCTGCCATTTTTCTGCACCCCAGTTCCTATGTTTTTGTACATAGTTGAGCTGCATTTCTTCCAATGGAGTTTGAAATTTGGTCAGGATCAATGGTTCTCAATACTGAGAAATACAAGCAGATGCTTATCCATCATGCCATACCAGCAGGGAGGCGTGTGATTGGCCCCAAATTTATTGTGCAGCAGGACAACAACCCCAAATGTACAGCCAATGTCATTAAGAACTATTCTCATTGTAAAGAAGAACAAGGAGTCCTGGAAGTGATAGTTTGGCCACCACAGAGCCCTTATCTCAACATCATCGAGTCTGTCTGGGATTACATGAAGAGAAAGATGGATTTGAGGCAGCCGACATCCACAGAAGATCTATGGTTAGTTCTCCAAGATGTTTGGAACAACCCACCTTCTGAGTTCCTTCAAAAACTGTGTACAAGTGTACCTAGAAGAATTAATGCTGTTTGGCAGGCAGAGGGCGGTCACACCAAATATTGATTTGATTTGGATTTCTCTTTTGTTCATTTACTTTCTATTGTTCATTGATAAAAAAAAGAAACTATTAACACTTTTATTTCTGAGAGCATTCTTACATTACATCATTTTTTCACACTTGCCTAAAACTTTTGCACAGTACTGTATATTTACATTGTGCCAAGCTGGGCCAATGTTCATATATATATTTTTTTTATATATATATATATATACATTTAAAGCTGGAGTTCTATTTTAAGGTAACTGAAAGTGACTTGCTTGTTTCACAAAGCTGTCATTCTGTAGTCAGTACTTATTAGTAGATTATAAGAATTGTTCCTACTCATGCTCTGTGTAATCAGAATTATGCAGAATACATTATCTTTGGGTTTATGTCGCGCATTGAGCTTCTTTATGTATTTTTACCTAATTTGATCATTTTTGGATTTGTGGAAATAGCTTTTTATGTTGAATTATGCATGCAATTGCTTGCAAAATAATTTTTATTCACCTCCCTGAATACTTGTTATTTTATCAAAGGGGTAACTCCAAATACCATTATTATGGGATTCGTGTCAAGCCAGATTCCCCTCTTAATCGATTACAAGAGGACATGCAATATATGGCTATGCGACAGCAACCCATGCAGCAGAAACAAAGGTATGTAAATGCAATGGGTGCAGTTCTGCCATACAGACCTGAGAATGAGATTTTTGGGGGTTCTGCTATAATTGAGTTTTTGTACAGTATATTTTATTTACTCGTGGTTTTAAATTTTGTTGCTGTGATGGAACTCTTAGTTTCACAATGGGGATACAACTGCACCTGGGACAAAAGGATGAATAGTAAATAATGACTTCTACTTTCTCTCACTAGGATTATGAAAGATTTCACCTTGTAACCCAACATTATATTTGAATTGCTCTGGTTATTAAGCCCAAACTCTTTGTGAATGCTTAAAGGATGCACCAGTATAATGTTTTTGTATATACTTTCTTTAAATGTAATATATTCAGGACTAAAGCTTACTGCACAAATTACAATCTTATGTGCTATTCACGGATGAGCATGCAGTGCAAGGGTCTGCCAGATTGGATAAAGTTATATAAAATATAGTTTAAGTAGACCCTCATATTACATGCATATTGTATGGCCAGATTGTAAACAAATTAAATTTTTGAATACAGATGTTCCTCGCTTGCCGACTCACCTGTTTTGCGACCACTCGCACTTACGACGGACCGCCGATCGACCTCCGACCTTGCGCGTCAGTGCGCCGTGTCGCCGGGGGAAGTGACGTCCTCCGATCTTCACTGCGGGTCCCGGTAAGTATTTTCATTGCCCGATGTACAGTACACTGTTCGGTACTGTACATCTGCAATGCTTTACAGTACTGTACTAATGCAGTACAGTACTGTATAGAGTTCCTCACTTAACGACCAATCCGTTTAACGACCTGGTCGTAGGAACGGAACTCGGTCGTTAAGTGAGGAATACCTGTATTACTGTTTCATTAAATAATAAATATAATATTACAATATTCAGCTGCATATAGAGCTGCACAGTGAATTTTGCTGGAGCAGCGACAGGGGTAATTATTGGACCAAGTGGGGTGCACTCGGGGCAGTGGAGGCATGCCTTAATGGACAACTTGTACTAAAGCTATAGTTAAAAGTGAGTTACAAATTTTAATAATAAAAGTCCTTCTAACTTCTGATGCCACAAGGTGCCTGCTATTACCTTTGCTAGCCAGAAAAGTCTCCTTTTGTGATCTGGAAAGAGTTTCATTTTCTTACTAGGTGGTTGACTTTCCTGTTTTCAGGGGTAAACTCCATCAACTGCAATTCCTATATCCACTAAGAATTCCCTTATTAGACACTGAGGCTCTCTCATTGGACAGGGAAAGGGCAGTTAACGCCCTGGTCCCTGGGAGGCAAAACCCTTAGTAACAAGTTAAAATAACTTCAGGGAGGCTCATAAAACTGTGTATTTTGGCTAAAATTCAATATAGATTTCATAATAGAGTATGTTATGATTGTCATATTATTTATAAATTAATGAGTGCATGATGAATTCATTGATTGTCTTGCAATCTGTTGCATAGTTTCTTTTTGCATCCGCAATTCAATGAAACTATAGCCAATATCACTATGAGATAGAAGAGAGTACAAATAAGGCATCATTATTTTATTTAAAAAACGAATAGTTTAAAAATAGGCAAATGGGCTATACAATTATGGGTGTGCCACTAGGAAAGTCAGAAATGGAAAAAGATTTGGGGGTCATTGTAGACCACAGATTGAATAATAGCTTGCAGTGCCAGACTGCTGTAAACAAAGCATGTAGAGTCCTGTCCTGTATTAAGAAGGGGATGTTTTGCAGGGACAAGTCTATAATTGTGCCACTATACAGATCACTGGTTCAGCCTCATCTGGAGTATGCGGTCCAGTTTTGGTCACCAGTCCACAGAAAGGATGTCCTTGAGCTGGAAAGAGTCCAGCGGAGGGCAACCAAACTCATTAAGGGGATGGAGGACCAGAGCTATGAGACAAGGCTACTAAATTTAAATATGTTCTCGTTAGAAGTAAGGAGATTAAGGGGAGACATGATTTTCATGTACAAAATGTTCAATGGTGATAGCAACATTAGCAACAAACTCTTTACGATTAACTCCATAACAAACACTAGAGGCCACCATCTAAAATTGGTGGAGAAAAAATTTCAGCACAAGGGGCGAAGGGGTTCTTCTCAGTTAGAATGGTTAGGGTCTGGAACTCGCTGCCACATGCAGTGATTTCAGCTAAGAGTGTGGAATCATTCAAGAAGCTTTTGGACGATTTCCCTTAAGGACCGTAACATACAGGGGTACGGTACTCTGAAGAATGAGATCACACAAGGACCTATAAGTACGCACACATCAGCAGAACCATGTACATGCACGCAATAGGTTGGATTTGATGGACTTATGTCTTTATTCAACCTCAAATACTATGTAACTATGTAAATACATGATTAAATCATTTTATAATCTATAACTCTAATTTTATAAGTATTCTTATAATTAGTAGTAGTTGTAGTAGTAGTATACAGATTGTATGAATAACTATTTAAAGAATTAGTCATTCTGTTCATGCTACCAGCAACTGATAAAAAGAGATTTTTCTAAAAGTTTTTAATTGGAGTTTGTTAACTATGTTCTGATGCCTTCTAATGTCGACTGTGTGGGTGGACATTCATTCACATGTGGGCTGAGTTCTTTATAACCTGTATGTTTGAAATTCACTCTGCTGCCTCGGGGTATATTGTAAAGACGTTGTAAATCAGGAGACTAAAGCTGAGCTAAAGGTAACCTTCACCCTAAATGATTTATTTGTAACATCTGAGTTTTTTTTTCGTGGCTAAAGAATATTTGAGGCTTGACTGCAAGTAGATATAAAAAAAACTTTATATAGTTAGCGTATACAATTAAAAAATTATGTGTATTTTGATGCAATATATACAAGTATTCATATTTGTCTCTTTATTAGCTTTAGCTTATCCATTATACTGTAGAAGAGGTAGGTGAAACCAAATTTATAGTCCAAATAATAGCACAAAAGAAGCATTCTGCAATGAGTAAGGCCCAGTTCACACTTATGTCAAAGGGACAAAAAGACATACTGAACAAAATGGCTCACCAGATCTTAGACAAGTGTTAAATGAACTTCAGCAGCTGCAGGGAAGCCTATCCAGAAGAATACTCAACATCAAGACCTTAAAGGAGAACTATGACATGAGTGATTTCCACTCACCTCATAGTTCTAAGCCGACCTGTGACAGGTCGGCTCAGTAGATCGGGAGGTGAGAGAACACATACCGGGTTCCCTCACCTCTCGATCCTGTCACGGCTCTCTGCCGTGACAGGGGGAGGGGCTGGATTCCCCTCTCCCCGCTCCGATCTGCCAGCGCTGACTGGCGGAACGGACGGGGGAGGGGGCGGGTACAGCTGGCTCTGCCTCTAGATAGGCAGAGCCAGCTGTCACTCACGCAGCTGGGCGGATCCCGTCATCTAAGTCGGGATCCGCTCCAGGTGCGGCGTCTCAGTATACCGCGAGCTGTAGCTCGCGGTATACTGAGCTTAGGGTAACAGGAGGACGCTAGTTTGTGTCCTCCCGTTACCCCAAGGAGAACTATGGGGAAAAACACTGACCCCATAGTTCTCCTTTAAACAGTTTTGTCCCAGTCACTGGAAAATCTTATATCCAGTGAATCCATATATTCATGAAGGAATGAAAGTGTTACTCTTACTAGCCAGTTTGTAATATGTTTTGAAATTTCAGTGTTATCTATGTATATGGATAGATACCTGCTATTTGTTGCTACAAGAATGTTGCTGTAGCACAGAGCAGTCTATCCCATGGCAGATGTGATAACTGCAGGTTGTAAGAGATCTGGTTGTTTACAAAGGTATTCTATGCCTGCGCCTGCTATATTCTTCCTATAATTCCCTGCTCAGCACTGTGAACCAACCAGGGCTATGCTGCATTTAGCTAGTGCATGTTACTGGTGCACACCATAAAACCTTTCTGATGGAATCGCTCATTACCGCCCTTCTGTCCAGCCTGATTGTGGCATACAGTGCTTGAAAAAGTTGCATCACTTGCTTTTATGAAGTCATGTACAACCCCAACTCCCAAAAAGTTGGGACGCTGTGTAAAATCTACATAAAAACAGAATGCAATGATTTGCAAATCTCATATTTTATTCACAATAGAAAATAAAAAACATATCAAATGTTTAAACTGAGAAAAATTACCTTTTTAAGAAAAAAATAAGATCATCTTGGCTTTGTTCTTCACATGATTGGGCTATTAATATTCCTGGCTATGCTCTTTCGGAGAGACCGGGTAAAATTAAAAGGTGGCGGGGTTTGTCTCTATGTGAGAGGTGATCTATAAGTGAGTGAGAAAGAGGACTTTGTTGATGGTGAGGGTGCTGAGGCGTTATGGGTGGAGTTGTATACTGATACATGCATAATGCAAACGTAATTGTTGGAGTTTTACAGTTAGGGGCACCTAGAGGCATGTACAGTGAATGGGCATTTAGTGTTTTTTTTCTAAAGTTTAATTATTTGAGAATTATGCTGTGTACTCGTTTTTATTTATTTTTTTGTTGCTAGTGCTTTCTAAAAACTACTGGCTGTCTGCTAAATCACAATTGTCGGCCACTGAAAATTTGGCAATACATTTGCCACAAGGTGAGCCACATGCTAACTGCAGCCATACCTGCATCCAGCTGTTCATGGGGACCACATGATCTCTTCTTATCCCCATTAAGATATACTAGACATAACCATGGTGTAATTTGAGTTCCTGACGACAGATATTTCATGGCCTTCTCAAAACTATTTTTAACCTAACCATTTACAGCAACATATCAGACAAGACTAAACACTGATGTATTTAAAGTCGATTCTTCATTTGACAGGTATAAGCCTATGCAGAAAGTGGACGGAGTGGGAGATGGATTTCCAGGAAGTGGACAACAGACAGGTGCATCAGTTGAGCAGACTGTAATTGCCCAAAGCCAGCACCATCAACAATTTTTAGGTAAGAGCTAAAATAATTTTGCTGGAGAATGAATTTGGTACTGCTCATACTGTATGACAGTACAGGCAGAGTATATAAAAAGTCAAGCAATAAGAATAAAAATCTGGGCATTTTATTGCCGAGGGATTAAAGGCATCCTATCACCAGACCGTTCACTATAACAAAAAACTTTCCATTCGATTATATATGTTTTTAACATGTTTTGTGCATGTTATTTTAACATAAGTTATGTCATGTTATTTACCCACAAAAGCCTTCCTTGTGTTGGCATCCAAAAAGCCTGAGACTGATGCTAGGTACCACCATCTTGGATGTAATGTCCGCAGACTTAAGAGATGTCACTGAAGTGACAATCTATAGTATTCCCCTTCACTCCTTCACTGGGAGCTACATAAAAGATTGCTTATCCCATTCTAAAAATGCTAATTGCCTGAAAGTTATCCTGAACTAGCTTTGATTAATTCACTAGCAGATCAGGTAAGTCACATAGAATTCATAAGTTCAGAATAAGGGTTATTTCTGGTTCAGTGACTCAAAGTTTGGCAGGCAGCTAGCATTTGCCACAGAGGGCGACAATGGTAGCTGATACATTTATTTCATTAGAGGATTCCTTTAACACTTTACAGTTTTTTGAGAAGAAATACCAGAAGATATTTTGAAATTCTTTTGGTCATTAAATGAAGGTTGTACCAGAGGCATTGTGGCAGGGTTGTTAATAACAATTAAATTATGTGTCACCTGTTGGTTTTCTATTGTTGGTTAAAACAATAAAAGAGGGTAACTTTCTAAATGGTTGCTATGAGCAAAAGTTATGTTTGTCCTGTCTTGTAATTGTTATACATTGGACCGTTGTAATTTTCCATGGGAGTTCAATGAGAAGGAACCGCAAGGTGCACACCTATTTGTGCTGTAAATGTCACACTGTTTAGTAAAGCTGAAACCAGCACAATAGTTACCTAGGCGCCTGGCATCTGTAAATCCCATATCACTAAATAACTGACCCTAAATTTTCTTCTTATTTTAACTCACCAAGTCTGTCATCCTTTTAATTAAGTGAGTTTTGTTGTGTGCATCCCTTTTTAGAAGCAGTCTACTGACTGTATGTATCCTTTTCCACATGTATCTTCTTTTGGCTGCTGACTTCACGCTTTCTTTTCCCTGCCATCATATGCCATCTGCTGTGCATTTTTTATTTTTCTTGCCATGGTTTGTTGTTGAGTTATGCATCTTGCAGAGTCCTAAGTTCACATCCTCTGCGTTTTACATCTCTGCTGGCTTTTAGGCAGCTCAAAGTGTGTAAAGAGGAAAGCCTAACTTTTATCTCCTGCTGTAAATGTGGCCAATGACACACTGTTGGCATCCTTTTACACTTATTATACGGAGAGCATTTTATTGGACTCCTGAAGTCAAACAAATGTTAAGAAGACACATTTATGGCAATTTTAAAGGAAACCTTTCCAGGGAGACACGCAGGTCTGCCATTGCTTTCCCCCTGCTGATGATGCTTGTTCGCTGGCTATTACACTTGCAAAGTGGGTTCAATAAAGTTTAAGTCGTATAACCTGGAACAAGTATGCATATCAGGAAACTCAGAGTAAAGTCAGGTGTCCTTGTTCCCATACTTGCTCCAGACAAGAAACACAAAGTATTAAAGCAAGAGCGTAAACCTAACATCCACAAAACTTGCATTTGCAAAATGAGAAGTAGTTATTATAGGCTTTATGTTTCTCCCAAGGAAGGTTATCTTAAATTGGTTGGTTTGCTTTCTTAAGCTGCGTACACATGTTTAATAATCTAGTCCTATTCTAATTGTACCTGTGAACTCAAATGTTTTGATCACTTTTAGTTTTCTTTATAACATTGAAAGGAAGAGAAAAGTGAGGTTGGAAAATATTCTGTTGTTTTTGTGCTTGGTATAAAGGCAAAATAAATAATTTTAGTGAACATTTGTTAAAAAAAAAATCAATGGCAATGTAATTTAGATTGCATTGATAATAACATCAACATGAATCTTGATACCTATAAGCTGTAGTGGAACAGAAAGAGCCAGCAATAAATCAGTAAAATCTGGTTGCTTTGGATTAAAGGCATTATGCACATCCCCATCACTGTTTTAGTGCTTTCAATAAGACATGCATTCATAAAAAGACAGCCAGCTAAAGACTACACTGGATAAGATTCTACTCTACTACACTCTCGTGAATTAAAGATGTTTTACAGCTCCTAAACATTGCAGTGATTCTATAACAATAAGAAAGGGTGCTTATACAAAGGGATTGTCATACTTAAACATAATTGGAGCTTATGCACACACTATTTCTTTACCTGAAGAAATTAACATTATGCTCAGTCATTTCGTTTTCAGACCACTTGACTGCAAGCTTGTTTTGTTCCTATTTAGCACTGTGTGATATACTGTACAGATCAAACAAGTATCTTACAGGCTGCTATTTTGCTGCACAGCCAAGAAATACATTCTGCCAAAAGATGATTGAGAACAGCAATACTCCTTTCAGAAAGCTGGGAACCCGAATTTTATGTGTATAATATCAAACATGACTGTCTATGATGATAGACAAAGCTCTTCTTCACACTGTGCCTAAAAAAAGACTAACCCTCATCTTGGATCCTTACAAGGACTTTCTCTTATGTACTGTATTTATTGTAGTTTTAGGTGCAGTAAACCACAGCAGTTAGTCGTCAACTTTTCTGTAGTGTAATTTTGACAGGTAGATTACATTTTCAGATGAAATGGCTTTTTATATTAAAGGAAAACTATGAGGTGAGTGAGTTCCATAGTTAGAGACCTGTGAAAAAGAAGAAGCTGTCACGCTTCGGCTCTATCGATCGGGAAGTGAGCAGAAACATGCACCGATATGCTCACTACTAGATCGTCTCCCTGCAGTGACTGTCTGATCCTCCAGCGCTGAGTGGATGAACGAACGGGGGAGGGGGTGGGCACAGCTGGCTCTGCCTCTAGATAGGCAGAGCCATCTGTCACTCATGCAGCTGAGCTTTGTGTCACGGTAGGAGGTTATGTCCTCCCGTGACCCTAAAGAGAACTATGGGGAAAAACACTTACCTCATAGTTCTCTTTTAACATTTCATTGGTGAGCATATGCGAATAATATGTTCATGTTTTTTAATTCCTACAACTAGTTTTATACTCTTCATCCTTGCTAGTAGTTTGTCACATTCAGTTGGGCCTTAGTGTTTTGAAGATGTTCCTAAACTTCATGGCGTTGTGGTGATTTGGATTATGTTAATTACAACAGGGTTTACAACTTTTCACAACTCAAGGCCATGTCCTTGGACAATTGAAATCTGCCTTTACAGATAGGTATATAGTAAATGCTGGGGTATTTACCTGACACTCATTTGAACTTAGGAAGCTAGATGAGTAGAGAAATGTCTTCAACCTTATTAAACAAGTCAAATAGAATGTGACTAACTGCTACTACTACCCATACCATGACCTGGATATATCTGATTCTACAGCATAACTGTTCTGATGATTTACATTTGTCATACACTTAATGGATTCGTAATGTGGAAAATATGATAACCCCTACATTTTAAGCAGTCTACTGTCACCCTATAGTTGACACAGCATTTATGTGTACCAAATGTTGCATTGTCACCTAGAGGAAGTTAGTGTCAAGACAGGCTGAAGTCAGAACAGGCAGCTTAGGATCAATGTTTTAAGGCAAGTCATGGTCAGAGTAGGCAGCTTGTTCTTTCATTGGTGGACAGGATGAAAACAAGGGTGGCCAGTTGAGGGTCATATTGTAGACAAGCCAAATGTTATGGTAGTAGTTTGGGGTTGGTAACACAAGCATGGTCTGATGCACTTCCTTCCATACACGTACCAAAGTTAATGGGTAACTTGTGTGGAACGAGTCCATATTTCATGACATTATTATACCACTTCCTTTTTATTATGATTTCCACCTTTAACTACACTACAAAAGGTACTTTTTTTGCCACTTCTGATAAATCACTAGGACAAAGTTAATTTTTATAACAAAGGGTTCCCATTTGTATATGGGATCCCCTCCGCTCATCTTCTTAACTGTAACCTCCACAGTCTCAAAGAACGCTTAACCATTCTTACTAAAAGACTTTAGTTGTCTTTCTTTAATCAAATATGCTCCGTGCACATGCTCTGCTGCTATAATTTGCTCCAGTTTTTTTTTTAATCTTGTGATTGCTGGTAATTCTATAACTGGCGAACAATGAAAGCAATATCCCAAGTAAAATGTTAAAGGTTTACAAAGTGCAAAGTGGAATCCCAACGAGCAGCTGTATGAGATCTGAAAACCATGATAAATACATGGTAACATTTCCACCTAAGAATGCTGGTTGACTTGTTGTTATGCTAATCCAATAGTGTAAGTATTTTCTGGGTTACTGACTAGGAACAAGTATGCAGATTATTAGATCCGTCTTCACCCTGATTTTGCATGCTGCATACTTATTACATGGTCAGCAGTTAAGAAAGTAATGAAACCAGAAACAGGCAACTAGCGTTTTCAGAAGAGAAGTAAAACAGCTCATGTATTTTTCTCAGCACAGTTTTCGTAAAGATACAAACTATTCTATGGAAGAACCCTCTTTTGTGTGTATGTTTATGTGTTTCAAAGTTATACAGCTTCACTTGTCCATATTAATAGTTTGTACTTGTTAAATGCATGTGCAGTGGAACACATATCTCTGAGATTGTTTAAAAATATTATCTATTTTTTATAGCAACATTAATAAATGAATAAAAATAAAATCTTGCCAGCCTTTGCTCATTAAGTAATGTGACCTTTTAGAATGTCTGTCTTGCTATGCTTCTTAAATATTTTCCTAATGAAGCTGTAATTGGCACCATCCACAATATCTTTCTTCTATTATGTTGTTATGGCAACAGATGCGTCTAGAGCACTTCCAGAATTTGCAGAAGTTGAAATCTCTTCTCTGCCAGATGGTACAACCTTTGAAGATATCAAGTCACTGCAGACTCTTTATCGGGAGCACTGTGAGGTAAAAGGCACCTATGTGTATGCGAAAATTACTACTCCCACACTACAATTTATTTATTCTCTCATCTATGCTGTGTTTTGTAAAATACCAAAGAAATGCTGTTGTCCATGTGGTAGTTATGTTGGAGCACGTACATAATGTACACAACTAAAAAGCTAGATGCATTTTAATTCTGGGTGTGTCATGGTTATCTGTGAGATGGACTGAACATAACTTGAAGAGTTGAAACTCTGTTATCATGAACATACTTCATTTTGATATTATGCTTGTGTCACTTGAAATTGTGTTTAATAATTGTTCAGGAACTGGCAAATAACAGTCATAAGGCAAAGTTAATATTTTCTTGGAAACAGCAGGGATGTGATTTTCATATCTTTCATTAAAACACTTAATCCAACCAAATACCACGCTGAGTCTGAAATTCCTCGCTGGGTAACGCTTGAGGACTCCTTTCACCCAACTACTTCAGTAGCTAACCTTCTCTGGCTTCAACCTAAGCGGAGGCCCTCAGCACTAAATCCCATCACTTCCTTCTCGCTGCGCATTTGGGACTCCTTAAATAAAAAAATGGCCCTCACTTCCCCCACACTTACCTCTAATGTCTTTCTTGAGGAACCCCACCTTCCCTCCGGCGCTTTCTAACCCCTCTAGCTTTAAAGTATGGTCAGATAAGAGACTCAAGAATTTCGAGAAATTTCAGACCCAATCGGGCGTGAAACCCTTCCCATACCTACGAGAACACTATGGTCTACCGACTAGAGAACTGTTTCGCTAACTCCAGATAAAGAACTTAATTCATGTCCACACGAAACACCTGGACTCACCTGGTCCTCCCAGTCCTTTTGAAAGGATCTGTAAGGACAACCCCCATGCACCTGGAATCATTTCCACACTCTACACATACATCCTAACACTCCCTGAACACCCAGCCCCTTCTTACACAAGCCAATGGGAACGAGACATGGGGTTTACTCTGGGAGAAGATAAGTGACAAAACTCCTGGGTCAACACGAAATCTAGCTTGCGATGTGTCAGTATGTTGGAGATCAATTATAAAGTACTATTACGCTGGTATATGGTCCCTGCAAGGGTGGCCAAATTCCGACCCCAAACCTCTCCACTTTGCTTCCGAGGCATGCCTGGACCAGGGCACCTTCTTCCACATATGGTGGCAGTGCCCAAAAGTTGCTAAGTATTGGGACCGGGTATTTACCTTACTTTCGTCATTATTCCAAAGATCCCACCTTTGCTCTTCTTAATTGTAAACCGGTAGGCCTATCTACTGCATCCTTCAAACTAAGCCTCCATGTTTTGACGGCGGCTAAAAGAGAGATAGCCAAGTCATGGCTATCCAGCTCGCTCAGTATTTCCAGCCTCAAATGGCATGTGCATTGGACGTTGTCGCATGAGAAGCGGGCGGCCCAAGCAGAAAATACAATGCAAAAGTTTGAGAAAATATGGTCCCCCACGGATAGAAAATTTCCTACCCGCTGATATTAACCATCACCTTTTAATCCTATGATAGGGGATTATGGTAACAGCTCTATAGCACTTAACCTCTTCCCACTCGCAGCCTGACGCTACCCACTCTTTTCTTTTCACCCCTCTTCTTCCCCGACTCTCACTTTTCCCCTAAGTCGTTTCCCTACAAGACATCATTTGTACTTCCACCATATTGTACGTCGATCCCTGGGATATGCCCTATCCGCGTTGTCCCTATGTACTGCAGCCTCTTTGCTGATTTTGTGTATGTATTTACCATCAAGACACCTAGGCGGTATTACATGGCTGTAAGCCATATTGTACCTACCTGGCATACCTTATCTTTCTGGAATCCATGCCTGACTACACTTGCCTCCCCCAGCCTATTAATCCCCTAAAGCTGTTGCAGTCGAATCCCAGGTCCAGATCCACGCCTACTATATTGTTTTGTATCTTGAAGTACTATGACTGTATATTATGATGTAATGTTATTTTATTGTCTTTTACCTACAATAAAAATTTATACGAAAAAAAAACACTTAATCCATTCTACTTCTGCACTACATTATGTGTCTACAGAAGGAAGAATGGGTATAGTAGAGTGAGCCACCTGAAGGCCTTCCCATAGTTATGTTAAGGCTACAATGACCAGTGTAAAAACATATATGGGCTTTTTTTCTAATTGTAGAAGCACAACCAGTCATTTACACATACACATGACACAGGTAATTTATCTATGACTGAACATTATTGTGATGCATACTGTTCCAAAAAGCAGCCAAAATTGTTACACTACTGGCTAGCCCCATATACTGTGTATCCTGAGCATCAATACCCAAAGCAGCTTTGATAGTAATAGTGTCTCTATTGTACTGCATGTAAGCTGCAAAGTTGGTAAGTATATACAGTATTGTTTGGAGGCTCAAATCATCCCATGGAATAGGACTGTGAGGGCACAGTTCATTTTGGAACTGTTGCAAACCCTTTCTTTGTCACAGCTCAATACATAACTGTAAGTCATTCATAAAACATGATTTTACCTGTTGCCCAAATTAATTATTCAGAGTCCAGTTATCACTCGGAATGTGAAAACTAACGATTAATTCCAGGAACATTTTTTTATTTCTATATTATGATCCTAAGTTTAACTGGCCGACTGTATTCAATAATAAATGTATATCTTCATATTTATATAAGTAACATTCACATTCTCCTGTAATTTGTTGTTCAGGCAATACTGGATGTTGTTGTAAACTTGCAGTTTAGCCTGATTGAGAAGCTGTGGCAGACCTTCTGGCGTTACTCTCCGACCTCTACAGCTGATGGAACCACCATTACAGAGTCTGGGTAAGACCCTTAACATTTTAAGAGCTGCTGCCCAGAGGAGCGGTTCCCTTATAGCAGTGCTAGTCTTTCCTTTTTCCAAGTGCAAGTTACACAATGAAATATATATTCAGCCTAATTGGTGGCTTTGGGCAACTTCTCTTTCCTCTGCAGCAGTTTGTATAAATTTACACTATTGAGGGGTTTTCTTTTTATTGCAAAAGAGTTCTGAAATGACTGTATCAGCTTTTAAATGCACCATAGTATTTTGCCACTCTGGCAAAGTACAAATTATATTATCTATTTAAAGGAAAATTAAATATATTTTTAGTGAGCACATATTTAAGTTATTATTGAATAGTTTAACTAATAATACATGCAAAGTTTACATCTTTGCATGCTTGCCCATCACTATTTTTGTTATTGTATTTCATTTGGAGATTTTTACACTAACCACTAGAGGAAGCTGTGTATTTGACTCAGCCTCATTCAGTCTCCGTGCTCTACCTGTCTGCCATGTAGGGAGCGCAACTTATTCAATGTTGACTGACTGTGAGAAGGAGCAGTGAAGCACATCCGTTATGCACCACTGCAAAGCAGGAAGCATAGCCAGAGTATTTAAAGTCATCTTGTATTATTTTTCACAGCTCAGTCACCTAACTCCTGCATTGTATATTGCTTTTTATCCCATGCTTCTGTGTTAAGTAGAAAAAATGTTACAGACTTTGAGCGTTCACTCCTCATTCCCGACCTTGCTCTCCAAAGCAGACGGACCCTTGACAGCTCTTATCTGTCTCTGCACTTTCCCAACACAAAACAAGGCTCCTCTTCCAGTTCTAATGCCTGTGCTGATTCCTGTGAGAGCATGCTCCCTTCCTGTGACCTCACTTGTGTCTGGAAAGTGCAGGGACAGTGAGATAGGAGCTGTCAATCAAAAGTCCGTCATCTTTGCAGAGCATGGTCGGGAATTAAGAGGAGTGAACTGGCAAAGTCTGTAACTCAGTTTCTACATCGCACAGAAGCATGGAATTAAAAGAATTAAAAGCAACATATGCTGTGGCAGTTCAGTTGAGCTGTGCTAAAGAATATAGGGTCGGACTTCATCTTTAATGACAATTATGGCTGCTGTCATGTACATATGTAATCATGAACTTTGTACAGAAAGGGAGTTTTGTCAGGCATTGATACGATTATCTGCTAGAAGTTGATCCTTTTCACACGAAAAGGCTATACATTCTTTAACAATGGTATTATTTCTATAGCAGATGTGTTCCATTCCATTGACTTTTCTGATTTTTCTCTTACACATTTATGTTCTTTTTGTGAAAAATGTACTTGAAATTGAGCGACATACTGCTACCACATAGGGATAGATTACATTTACATCTCATTTTTATTTCTGTTTCTAGCAACTTAAGTGAAATGGAAAGCAGACTGCCAAAGTCAAAGTTGATTTTGCTCTGCAAAAATGAATCGATTCTGAAGTGGATGTGCAACTGTGACCATGTGATGTACCAAGCTTTGGTGGAGATCCTCATTCCCGATGTCCTAAGACCAATTCCTAGTAAGATATATTCTAGGCATGATTATTAGTGGATCCTAGGCCCAGGATGTACATGTTGAGACTAAGCTCTGGTACCGCAGCACCACCACCACCACTTAACTGTTAAATTACAAAACTTCACTGGGTGCCAGAAAGACAGGGCCTAATCTTTTGTTGGGTGGAAGTCAAGGGTCTCACAGATGTCCACCTCAAGATGTTCATGATCCTGCCTTGACATGGGAGCATTGAGATAGCCAACATCCTAGGATGCCCTTTTATAAATTAATGTTGCATGCTTACCCTATTTTGTCTAGGGGAAAGTACTCATAAACATCAAATGGGTGTTTGCTGATACTGTCTTTAGCAGTGTTGGCAAATAAGAATCTCTGCAGGTTACTTACAAGGTCAATAAACCACCCTGAGGAGGTCTTCAGGGGTAAAAACGTTAACCATCTGGAATAAATATACTTTGGCAATAGTTTTTTTTTTCTCTAGAATATCACTGGCACTTGGAGTATCTGCTAAGTGCCTAAATAAATATTGATTAATCCTAAATAAACAGCAAACATTAATTTCTATGTGTTATACATTTTAATAGTAAAATTGGTTAGATTAAGCAGGCACAACTGAATTACACTTAATGTATATGGTCATCATCAGACCAAATATGTACATAAATATAGCATTTAGAATGCATGATTGTTCTTTATAGTTTACTTTCAGAAAGGGAGTGAAGGGGTGGCAGGGAACTATTCTTCAATCTGACATATCATTAATTAGCAAAGTCAATGAATCAAAGAGCCAATAAAAAGCAATGGTGTGCTGCATTCCATGAAACCAAGGACCACAACATTTCTGTAATACATTGTGTAGCATTTTCCATTGTAGGAGTCCAGAGTCCATGTAGGGATGGTGTTCAGGTAGGTATCAAATTATATTAAATTACTTTACTTGGTATATGTTGGCATTATCCATTAAAGTCCATCTCAAATCTTCAGGGTTTTTTCCTATCAGAGGGATAAACAGGCATTCCCAGGCAGATACAGCAAGCTCCTGCAAATACAGGAATGTTGCATCAATCTAAAGGGCTTTGGGCAAAGCCAGACATGGCTATTCATGATAGAACTATTGATGGTGCCAGCATCTAAGCAACTACAGTAGCAGTAGGAATGGCAATGCTGCAGTGATTTTACCATATCAAAGGAAGTTCCTACTCGGTGGTTCCATTGGCTGGATCAATAGATGTTTACAAAATTTTCCAGGGGGTACAGAGAGCCCAGTCTTACTGGTATGGGTAGCCTATATAACACAGATGATTTTATAATTTGACAATAGTTGTACTTTAACCCCTTCGTGACGGGAGACGTACACTGTACGTCCAGCCACAAAGGGACCAAATGACTTGTCACGTACACTGTACGTGACGAGTTATTTGCTGCTTTAGAGGGCTGTTAATCGCTGAGAATCAGCTTTTAACATTCATTAATGGCTGCCCTTAAAAAATATCTAGGTTTAAGCAGTCTTTTGCTGCCTTGTTGACAGTAAACAACAATTTAGTATATTTAGTGTAGGACCTTCAGTCTTTCATATAGCAAGCACTGAGCTGTGTTCACGCTGCAGACAAGTGGGTTGGGCTGGTTCATAGAGGGAGGTGTATATGTTTTAGTGATTCTGCGCTGGATAAGTGAAATGCAAGTATTCTAAAATGTACGTGCTAATGTGAAATAATTTGAAGGCTGCAGCAAAAACCGACCCTTAGGTCAAATCATATAAAATTTAAATTATGAAACGCCCACAACAATCAATAAACGTGTCAATGTTTAATGAATTTTGTTCCATTTAAGTTCTTTCTTTTATATTTTTTTTATTGTATTTTTTGACTGTATTTTATATTCATTGATGATATATTGATTCAAATTTGTATATTTCATGGGTTCACGATTAGCTCACAGTTTACTGTGACATTGACACGTTTATTGATTGTTGTGGGCGCTGCATAATTTAAATTTCATAGAGGGAGGTGGCAGCCTGCAGCTGTGGCACAGCAAAGTACTCATTTTGGGAGCAGAAAACTGTGCAGGCTGTGAAGTGTATCTGGAGCATAACTGGGCATACGAAATTGCTTTTCACTTGTAAATGCAGCACAGGGCTCTCTTGATGTTGGTTTCATTTTTGTACTGTGTGTACAGTTTTCCTATATCAAAATATTGCACTTGTAGTGAATACAGCACAGACACCGTACAGCAAGTGAATAAACTGCCAGCACCATCCCCATAACTGCCTTTTATTTCTACATAACCATAACCTAGGTTTTCTATAAATATACATCTATAGTTTTGTGAATTCTTGCAATAGCTCCATTTTTCTTTTCAGTTTGTTTAGGTACAAGTAATGTTATCTTTTGATTGGTTCAGTAAAATGTGTCATGACACTCATCTATGGTAGAACAGTATGGGTACAATAACTGCTGGCCCTGAACATTTTATTGAGAGCATACCTTATACTGATGCACTGGTATAAACCAGCACATTCAAGGTCTGACTGAGTACCCTTGCTTGCTCTTATTTAGTAGCCAGTACTCCTACGTAAAACGTGGTCAGTGTGGTCTAATTACACATTTTGTGTAAAACATTTTCTCCCTCTAAAAAAATGTACACCATCCATGTCAAAAGCAGGTAATCTTGCTAATGGAGATTACAGATAATCTTTTTTTTACTCCCATGAATGTAGCATTTGTGCTCAAAGCTTACAGGTTACAATATTTTGTCCTTCCAGTCATTATTGTACCACTGCCTGTGTGTCTGTATTCTGCCCATAAGCCAAGCAGCAGGAATTTGAAAGTCAATGTGATTTTCTGAAGAGCAGTAATCCCAAAGAACCTTGTGGCAAACAAAGCTGCTTTCAATTGATGTGTACGCCTGTATTGCGCAAGGCTTATTATATGCAATATAGCACAGAACAGTTTAACGCCTACAGCTTTGCACTACATGAACAAACTTATGACCTTCAGTTGCAACTACACAAAAAAAGTGTTGAATTAAAAAAAATAAAAGGAATAATTTATCACACACTTTGGTTTTTCATTTATGAAAGTGGACTCGCAATATAAAACTGTAGCATCAAATGTTTTTATTTGTATACCATACACAAAGAGAAATATTTTGTATGGATCAGTAATGATCTCAATTAATCAATTTCAAACATCTACTGCAGGTTATAAGTCAGTCATATGCTGCGTAATCTGATATGCTGTTAACAGAGAACTGAAAAAAGAGACATGCCTACCTGGCATTTGTACACACAAAAATTGGTAAATCAGCACATAAACTTAGCCCTGGTTCACACCTGAGCGTTTTTTGTGTGTTTCCGCGCCTATAGATACACGCGGAAACGTGCAAAGCACAAAAGTCAATGCATTCCAATGTGAAACATCCACATCTGCGAGTTCGTACGCGCGGACAAAAACCTGCAACGCGAGAAAAGGTACATTCACGATTTTCTGGGCAGTTGCCGCGCGTTCGAATTGTGCTTGTAGCAGTGTATGATCGTGCGAAAAAAGTGCTGAATTGCAATTGCTTTATTGTGAATGGAGCCTAAAGCTGTAGTCATTAAAAAACACTAGACCCCAACAGTTAAAGTGAAGCATATGCACCATAAGACACCAGCACATATATTTTATTGGTTGGCCCTCCACATGCCATATAAAAGTATATGAGCCACTTAAAAGATCATTTTACTTCTATAAATGTATCCTTCAAAGAATTCCCATCCATTCCTTCAAGGTTTTATAGACGCCTGTCAATGCTCCTGGCAGATCCACACTGAGCAACCCACAGGGACCTACACAGCCAATGCTGGAAACTGGCCTGGCCAGTCCCAAAGTCTTTTGCGCATGTATGGACAAACCCCATTTAGCCCTATCATCACAGGGACAGCTTTACAAAAAAATATAATCTAATATAACCTGCGCTCCTATCAGTGACTTACCCCTAATCATATACAGTATATTTATCTAGCCGCTGTGCTAAACTTGGAAAAAAAACCTCAGCTCACAAGATATATATACAAATCTGCACTGCGGTATAAATTCTTGAAAAAGTCCTCTTATTCAAAGATAGAAAAATGTCCACAACCCAGCAATTGTGCTCTTTAGTGAAATAATAAAACAAACACCTCTGTGTTCCGTTTCCTCCTCCACACTCACCAGAATGCAATGGCAACTCAGATTATAGATGGGCCATTGAATGCTAAATATCTGTAGCAATTTGGTATAAACGCTTCCGTTTTACTCCCGTTCTTGCATATACATTCAGCCAGCTGTTTTTTTCCAATAGTTGACTGGTAATAATCCTCAGAAGATTGCCACCCTTTACACTTCCAAGTTCATATTACTACTTATCCAGTCCCCCAGAGCTCAAAGAAAGCATATAAGACCCTGCCATAGTGCAGCCATTTAAGAGATTTCTTTATTAAAAACAGGTGTTTTTTTTTTTGGTTTAATATATTTGTATTATTATTTCACATTAATACATTTACACACTTTCAAAAAAAGTAACAAAAATATAAAATTTCCCCTTATATAAAATCACTGGAAATCCGCTCACCAGACCACTGCTTCTCCTCCCGCCAGTGCTTCTCTCCCTTCCTGTACCAGCATGTTAGTGTCAGCATGTACTGCCCATCCAACCTTTTGACCATTTACAATATTTTTTTCTTAATAAAGAAATCGCTTAAATGGCTACACTATGGAAGGGTCTTATATGATCTACATATTAAAAATGCCGTTTTAATATCTACAGTACTTTTGGACATGGGTGGACAATGCTGACTGCAATAATTGACCACTTGCCCAATTTACTACTGCTGCTGTGCACTGTAAATTGCCAGTTTTAAATGATATCTCCTTTAATTGTGTTGTGAGGTTTACTGCACAGAAAATGCCATGAAAAGTTATTAGTTGATCAAAGGGCAGTTTGTGGATATAAACTCTTTTTTTTTTTTTTACATATCTTAATAGTTCAAGAAAAAGAAGTAACTCAAAGTTAGACACCCAAGGGCTGAGATTGATTTTGGTGAAAAATAGAAGCAACAAAAAGAACTGCTGCAGTTTACTTTGTCACTGTTCTTATTTTCAAAACTCATATAATTAAATTCTTTACTGTTAAACATATGTGGAATCTTACCTTCAATTATATCATTGTGGTTTGTGGGACTTTAGTGGTTACCAAGGTAGATCACCAGGGGCTCTGTAAACTGGCAATGGAGATGTCTGCTAAACAAGTAAAAGGAGCAGAGCCTTTGGGGTTGATTTACTAACCTTATAAACACGCCACGAACAAGTATACACCTCTGTAGTGTGTTCCCTCCCAGCATGATCTATTGGTGGAATCTAGACACCTTTGTAGTGTGTACATACCCAGCAGTTGTAGTTGTAGTGTGTTGTGCAAAGCCCTGCATGAATTGCAAGGTGATGTTGTGTAAATTAGCTCTACATTGTGTTGCTTGCGTTGATGAATGCAGGAATGTAAATGCATGAGCTAACCATTTTTGTCCAAACTGGGAAGCAGCATTATATATCCATCATGTGCATGATTTTTCAATATATGGCATTAGTGGAAATATGCTTTTAGAGACTTTTTGGTTGATAAATACGTTTTGCTGTGTAAAAATCACACGCACCTAGTGCGTGCGTGTGTTTAGGTTAGTAAATCACCCCCTTTGGCTCTTACTGCCTGACAGTTGCCAGGCAAGTTCTTGTCTGTAAGGATCCCACTTTTCTGTTTCTTTTAGGTTCTGATAAGACTTTGGGTTGTGATAGGTTAGTTAATGAATTAATCAGTAGAAACATTTTCTAAACTGTAATAAGCTAGCCAAATTTTAACCTTTAGATTATTGTATTGTAAAGTTTCCTCCAGGTTTATACAAGGCAGTTGCAGGTTGTTCAGTTTCCTCTAGTAGAGGAGGCATGCCTGAGACTACTTGGAGCCAGTATATGGTTTGGTATTTATATGGTTCTGTGATTCAGTGGATTTTTAGACTGTTACTTTGCTGCTCCTCAGAAGATGACTTTTAGACTTTTAGTTTACCATTAATTAGCACACATCTGTCTTTTTAACACACACAATGGTTTCATTTTTATTCAATATCTTATTTTGAGGGCAACAACCTTTTTGATATATACTGTTACATTTATTCAAATTATATAATAAAAAAACACTGCTCATTGGTGTAATATTTTAAATGATTATTTAGATTGGAAACACATATGTCTTCTGTCTTCTAAAGGTGCCTTGACCCAAGCCGTTCGTAATTTTGCAAAAAGCCTTGAAGGTTGGCTCTCTAGTGCCATGAGTAATATTCCACAGAGAATGACACAAACCAAGGTTCGTGACCACTTGTTTAGAAGACAAAGATATCCCCTTCTTGATGCTGATTTTAGTGATTCAATGATTTGTTTCGACAGGTTGCTGCTGTAAGTGCCTTTGCCCAAACTCTGCGAAGATATACATCTCTCAATCACCTGGCTCAGGCAGCTCGTGCTGTGCTCCAGAACACATCTCAGATTAACCAGATGCTCAATGACCTCAATCGCGTGGACTTCGCCAATGTCCAGGTAAAGCAAAATAGATGCTCAATGTAAAAATGCATCTCTCGACAATTTGTATGGATTGTGTGAAAGTCCAGACAATTTAACTATTTTACTAGCAAATGCCAGTATAAGATTATGAAGTAACTTGGTTATTATAAAACAAAAGAAATAAAAACATTACAGTAATTTGAATATGTAATTGATTGGACCAGCCGTACCATTGTACAATAAGCCTTGCTAATGTTGAATCTTAAACTGTCAATTGGATAAAATTAAGATTTTTAGCTTCAGATTTTAGGCAACAATTAAAGTCCATAACTGCAATTTTTTATTTAATATAGTAGTTCTTGTACAGCCTCAGTATTTGCCTCATGTGTGCCAAGTACAGGGTCTTGTACTGATCTGAGGTATGTAACGTTGTGGACCGGGTCAGGAGCTGGCAGCTTGTATAGCAGGGTTGCTATCTACCACACATGGTAGCAATCAACAGTTAAATTACGATCAAACTCTTGCCGACCCCTCAACGGGGTCAAGTATATCTTTAAGCCATTTTTTTTTTCTTACTGGGGAATTTTCCCTATATTTCCTATCCTGAGACAGAACAGAAAGAAAGAAGAAATCTCTTCATAGTAAAAGGAAATTCCCTCTTTTCAGTGGAATAAGTGTTCCCATTGGAAGATTTCTTCTCCCTACCTGTGCCGGTGACAGCTGTCCTCAACACAAATAGAGAGGGTGACTCAACACAGCAGAGATGACACAGACAGTAATATAAACCTGACAAAGTTTTTAGCTCTTTCCTACTCCACCCCAAAACATTTTTTGGCTATAGATACATGTAAAGAAAGATGTCTGTTACTCATGCGGAAAGCTGAATTATAATTGGTTGCCTCCTATTTACCTCCACTTTTCATTTCCTCCATTTTTAAATAATTCTGCCATTATTTAAGTCAATTAAATAATAAAACTATTATACCCTAGAGCCTAGACTACAGACTACCTGATCAATACTTACAATAAATAGCTCTGGCATACCTCTTCAAGTACCTTTTGGAGCAATGAGTTCAATATGCTTAATAGATCCACTCACCTCTTGAAAGTGTAATGTATAATGATGTGATGGTTTGTGACAGGAACAGGCTTCCTGGGTGTGCCAGTGTGACGATAACATGGTGCAGAGATTAGAAACAGATTTCAAGATGACTCTTCAGCAGCAAAGCACTTTGGAGCAGTGGGCTGCCTGGCTGGATAATGTGGTGACACAAGCACTGAAACCTTATGAAGGGAGGCCCAGCTTTCCGAAGGCAGCACGACAGTTCCTACTTAAATGGTCATTTTACAGGTAAAATTGAATGCAAATATGTAATGTTTGTTCTTATAGCTATAGTGTTTTGTATAAGAAAAGGTAGTTAAAATGTATAATTCTATTGCTGTAGTACTACAAAAGCAGCCATGAGCCAGAGTAAAAATCTCCTGTAAAGTGGTGCCCTACAACAGAGATGTGCACAAGTCAAAGGCAAATTATCAGTGACAAAATCTTGTGCTGTTATGTGACATGTCATTGGCCATCATCTCAAATTAACAGTGAAGGAGTCTGGTGCTGTTATTTGACATGTCACTGGCCACTTACAGATGATAGTGATACAGGTATGGTGTTTTTACATGTTACCGTCAGAAATGCTTTTCTATAACTTCAGTAATAACAGTGGTAACTAAGGGGGAATCAATTCCTTGGTTAGCAGGCTCCTGATCCAATAGTAGCATTGAGTTTTGTTGACCCTTTTCGGTGTGTGATGTTTTAAATGCTGGTAAATATTCTGTATTCCTGCTTTAAAAAGAGGTTCTAAGCCTTCCTGCCATTGCTTTGTGCCTAGCAGTATCCCTGGGTTGCCACTGAACTATCCACCCTCCCAAACAGCACATAGTCACCCCTCTTTTGCTCCCCAGCTGCTTCAGCCACCATGATCAAAGAAAATACATAGTACTTCCTGCCCTCAATGCAGGGCAAAGCAACCAATTCTTTATAAGGTGTAATCTAGCTCATAGCTCAGTAGGTCTGTATCAGGATTTCTAAGGATCACTTAAAACTGTACAAATGTAGACCTTTCAAACAAAACATTTGAAGTAAGGTCATATTAACATTGCACTACAAAGCACAAAACTATTATATTTATCAAACAAATCTGCTAGTCAGATATAACCCCTCCTACTCCCATAATGCTCCAGTTTTATGCTAGTGTCTTAAATGAATAGATGTCTTCTGTCTCTGAGAGTAGCAAATCCTTTCTATTAGATTTTTTTCTTCAATCAAGCTTCTTTGCTTACTGCAGCGCCAAGTAGCAAATTCCTTGCAGTTTTCCAGATCGGCTGATCCTCATCATAGCCTTGAAGACTGTACCCCAATGCCACCATGCTGAAGATGCATCGATGGCTTTCAATGTGACCCTAGTGCACTGGGCTCTTTTTGGAGTGCTTTCCAGGCACCCCGCATATTGTGCGAGTCAGCTGCGGAGAGCTTTACATGCCCACAAATGGGGGCCATAGGGCACCCTCTGGACCACCACTATGGTAAGTCACTGGGCCTTGCCCTTTTGGAGCCTGGTGTGTGCTCATTGTGCTACTGTCTCCAGCTGCAACCCCACAGGGGTTAATGCCTGGCTGGCTCAGAACACATGGAACATAAGCGTGTTTCTTCTTATTTTCTTTCACAGTCTGGCTCTGAATTAGCCTGCATCTGCCTCTGTACACTTGGTTGCAGATGTAAAGTGTTTCTTATAAAAAAAAAATCTTGCAAACAATCCCCTCCAGCACTGCGCATGTGCAGCTCAGTGCACAGAAAACAAATTTCTAACAGGCATGTAGGAGATTATTTTTTGCATAAGAGACGTACCCAGTCTCATGTCAGCAAATTTCTTTAAAAAATACACCTTTTTCTTCAAGGATACCATTTAAGTCCCTTTTGATGCAGTGCGCACATGTCTAGAGAATTCTAAGTTACTAGTCCTGGCTCCCTCAAAAGCGCACAGCTTGGCAGTACACCCTCTACTGAGACCTTTTTTGTAGGGTGACTGGTGTAATCTAGATAAGTTCTTCACTCCTCTCAAGCATTTTGCCCAACAGTACCCCATTGAGGAGGAGTTCCTTAAGAAGTGGTTTGTTTACATTGTGGATCCGGCCATTTCCTTTCTTAAGACTCTGATTGTTTTTGTTGAGGACATTCAAGTGTTTAAAGATCCTGTTGATAAAAGACTGGGAGGTCTTTCTAAGGCCTTATTCTCCCAAGCTGGCCCTGCTCTGCAACCTTTTATTGCTGTTATGTCTATATGCCAGGCCCTGGATGTGTGGTCCAAGGATATGTTTAGAGATCCTGATTCAATCCTCATTGATCATTCAGTTCTCTAAGAAATGTAATTTTTTTTACCTGTTGTCCTGTACTCTTGTGTTCCTGGACTTGCGGATATCATACACCTGATATCTAGAATGGGTCTCCTGTCTGTACATATGTGAAGTGCTCTTTGGCTCATATGCGGGTCTGTAGAACATCGGTGCAAAAAACACCTGTACATGCCGTAGATGGCAAGAGCATCTTTGGTGCCTCTCTGGACAACATTATCAAGGACATTACGTGAGGAAAATCACTCTTTAGCCCCAGCAAAAAAAAGCTCAGCCTCAGACTGGAAAATCTTCGACCTCGGAAGCTAAAAAGAGTTTCTTTCTTTTCTCCCACTCCTCTAGATCCAAGGTTAATCCAGGAACTCAGTTCCACCACAAGCCTTGGTTTCCCAAATCTTAAATGGATAAGTCATGGGAGTAGTTTTCAGAGGCCACAACCTAGAGTTTCAAACTCTACCCCCACCCCACTTAAAGTGACACCAAACTCAGGAGTTAAATCTTAAAAATGCATTCAAGTACCTTCACTATTAACAAAAATGTTCTTATTTGTGTATCACTCAGCTGTAGATCCTCAAATCATCTCTGAATTGGTGCTGACACTGTCCTTCCTTCTGGAGGGTGGCTACTTTTTGTTCCCCATGGTCCCTGTGTGTGTTGTAAAGTAGTCACCACCCCAAGCTCACTCCCATGATGGACTACAATCCCAATACAAATTAGTAAACCAAATGTGAGATTGTAGTCCATCACGGGAGCGAGTTTCAAGCGATGACTACTTTACAACACACACAGGGACCATGGGGAACAAAAGTAGCCACCCTCCAGAAGGAAGGACAGTGTCAGCACCAATTCAGAGATGATTTGAGGATCTACAGCTGAGTGATAAACAAATAAGATACATTATTGTTCATAGTTAAGGTACGTGAATGCATTTTTAAGAATTGCCTCCTGAGTTTAGTGTCACTTTAATATTGTCAAGCCTGCCAACATCCCCGCAAAGACAAGCAGGCAGACCTCTACGCTGCTCTGGCACAATTCCTCTCTCAGGTAGTCATAGCCATGGTTCTGGAAAAAGAGAAGTTCAGGGTCTCTACTCAGATCTGTTCACTGTGCCCAAAGCAAAAGTGGGCATTTACCCCACTCCAGATTTTAAGGCACTCAACATCTTGAAAAAAAGTCTACATGGAATCTAATAGGCCAGTCATTCCTTCTCATTGCTTTGCTCCAACCAGGGCAATTTTTTGGCCTCTGTGAACATCAAGGATTGGCATGGGCCTTGTCTGCCAATCTCCATGAAAGTATTCATACTCTGAAGAGGTTCGGTTAGGTCTTGATACTTCAGCAGTATAACCCTCTTGTCTCAGAATTAACACTGTGTCCACTAATGAACTCCAAAAAAAGGATTTTACAGTATGTCCAAAAATCCTATTTTTTCAAAGTTCAGGCTACCAGCGGCATCACAAGGGGGTGCAGGGAGTGCAGCCCGCACCCGGGTGACACCATTGGAGGGGTGACACCAAAATTACTGACAGTCATTTTGGTGTCACCCCCTCTAAAAAGTCGGGCACTCGGTCATGGGCCGAGAGCCCCACAGTGTCAGGAGAGACGAGGGGACCTGGTGGCATACCTCATTCTGCCGGGTGAACGTCCCCTCCTCTCTCATCACCAAGATGGCCACCGGCAGGCGTCAATTAGATGGTCGCGCATGCGCCATGATGCTCCGGGTGACACCCGGCCACGTGACGCTCCTGCAGGCTACCATAATTGATTTGAATTATATAACCCAAGTGCCCTTTGTTGTTTCTTGTGATTACATCATAAGTATCAAAACTTCAAAGGAATGATTTGTGGTATGCAAACATAAACATTTACATAAAGTGTATTGCCAATTTGTATGTTTTCACACAAAAACAGGTATTATGGCATTTACAAAATTATCTTGCCCATAGATCCTAAAAAAATAAAAATTATTTAATCATTATTGTATACATCAAAAGAAACTTACATATGCAGAATTTCATCCAATGTGTTTCTTGGAAAGAAAAAGTCCTTTATTCTAGGATGCAAATGCGGCTCAAGTGATAAAGATGATCTTGTAATAAAATTATGTATCATGTAAGATCAATACATACATACTGTATATTGCTCCACCCATATATTGGTTGCATAATGCTAGAAAAACAGGAAAGGAGCATCAAACTCCGGATGTACCCATCCCACAGATTACTCCCCCAAAACAGGCACCACCAAGGGTGCAATACATTTAATAATTACAATAAATAACTATTTATTAGATTCTATCATGCTATAAAAAGGACCAAAACTATTCATTCAGACCAGGATGTTCCATAGCTTTTAATGTATATCTCAATTTACATTCTGATTGTAATAAAACCCTATCAAAATTCACACCTCTTTTTGGCATAAGAATATGGTCTTGTCCTAGACCATAATAGATAATAGTTCTTTTTCACAATCTTTGGTCATGATAATTTGTAAATGCCATAATACCTGGTTTTATTATTTTTTTTAAATGAAGATTGTTTTTTAATTTGTAAGAACTTCTTTTCTCATAATATCTGTTAGGGAATATGACAAAGATAATTAATTTCTTCCGGCTCCCTATTGTCATTCTGAGGTCTTGCATACTTAATAAATGAAGCAATACTGTTATATGACTACCGTATATACTCGAGTATAAGCCGTCCCGAATATAAGCCGAGGTACCTAATTTTAGCCAAAAATGTTAAAAAGCATTCTCATTAAATGTATGTTTACATTGATAGTCCTACACAAAGTGGCTTGCTAGCATTTAAATCTTTGTATTTTTGTTTCTCTTACAGCTCCATGGTTATTCGCGACTTAACCTTGCGCAGTGCTGCTAGCTTTGGCTCTTTCCATCTGATTCGCCTCCTCTATGATGAATACATGTTTTATTTAGTTGAACACCGGGTTGCTCAGGCAACTGGAGAATCACCAATAGCAGTCATGGGAGAGGTGAGTTTGTCAACATACATTTAACTAAATGGTTTATTTTAAGAGGTGTACTTTGTTAGTAATGGTTATATTCAATATAAACTATGAACCATGTACAATATCCACATACCTAATCCTTTTTAGTAATTTATATGGCCCAAAAAATAAACCCAGCTTTTCAACTGACTGTGTGTCACTACTACAGTGGGTTTAAAGCTGTGTATGAAATTGACCTAAACATTTTAGGACAATTATACGATGAGGTGTTTTGTTATTATCTACTTCACAATTCGCAGACCACACTTGTACACTGGCATCTTTCATACTAGTTATTATTATTTATAAGCTGAATTGGATGCATTACAGACAGGTGGATGGTGGAATCCTATTTTGAAGCCATATAGAGCAGTGAGGGATGGGGGGGGGGGGGGGGGGGGGAACTGTTTT